TCTCCTTGAGATTGGTGATACGGCTTGATCAAGAAGAGGTTAGCCTACCCAAATATTGTTTTTCCACTAAGAGATACTAGCACCACTTTGAATTTTTTTTACATAATATACATGTTCGGCATTTCGACGCTTACAGCTCATATGTGCATGATGTCTGGGGACATACATTCACAGAATTGATGATTTGGCGTGAACCATATCCACCTGTACTCATGGAGTTTGAGGCTATTTGATGAAGGTCGTCAGCTACGCGTTGTTTGGAGCAAACATGTGTTGTACATCGCTTCTAGGTGTATCACTTGTGTGTGGCAAGAGAGGAATAGGAGATTGTTCTCCTCTGATCCACCTTTGAATTCTTCGCAAATGACATGTTTAATGCTTGACACTTCCAAAATTTTGGAAGACTCGACTTTCGCAGTTTTATTTTCTTTGTGCTCTTAATTTGTTTTTCTTTCTTGATTTTATAGCTTTGGACTTGATTCTCATGAACTAGGTGCAATGTATTGTAATTTATTTTTACTCTAATTTTAAGAGGTTCACCTCGCTCTATGACTTCGCAAAAAAAAGGTAAAAAGTAAATAATAATAATAATAATAATAATAATAAAGACCCTCTATGAAAAGCCTCGAGATATTATGTTGTGCCCAACCGCAATATTTGGAGGCGGGTAATGTGTGATTGTGCTTTTCTAAGTCCGAAGACATAATATTTCAAAGGCTAAATGGCACTTAAATACCTTATAGTTTCATACTATTAGCACTCATATACCCTTAGTTGTATTTCTTAGGGGGGGGTTATTCATTGGTGTAATTTAAGGGATAATGGGATAATTTGTGGAACATCAGTGTTTGGTGTTATTGGTTGGAGTAATTGGAACTGGAGTGAACTCTTTGGTGTTATTAGTTTGTTGATGTAATTTTCCCCCAAAAACTCTATTACCCAAAAAATTATCCCAGCTATATAAGCCTCCCTCAGCCCCCAAGCCCAAAATTACCCCCTATCGCCTCCTGGAACAAAAGTCGGGAACAAATTACACCACTTCCGATCTCGAGCTCGATCGCCGTCGTCGTTGTCGAGGTCGTTCACCCCCTATCCTTCTTCTCTTCTAAGACCTCGCTCTACTATTGAAACCGCCGTCCGAGGTTAGGGTTCCCTTAAAAGGTTTGATTTGGCCCCAATTGCTTTGTTCTGATCTAATTCATGTGACCTTGTTGCTAATTAACAGAACCCTAATTCTCAATTCGATCGAATCGCTTCTTCGGGGGGCGTGTTCTTCTCCCTTTCGAAGCTTTTGGATTGGGGAAAGATTGAGATGGCGGATTGGGGTATGATTAAAACAAACTATATCCTTTCGAAGCTTTTGGATTGGGGAAAGATTGAGATGGCGGATTGGGGTATGATTAAAACAAACTATATCAGCACTAACCATGTTTAGTATATAATATGAATAGTTATTATAATTTAGTAGTGAGGGCTTGAGGATATCAAAAGTTTTATTGGAAACGAAGTGTGCAAGATGCTAATGCAGGGAAGAAGAAGCAAGGTGAAAATTTCAACATATTTGCATTAGATTTCAGGCCTCTTTTGTTGCAGTTGGGCGAAGAAAAAGCAGCTTCTTGTCGATAAAGCCTGATGATGATATTGCCACTGGCCGTTTTGATGATATAGATGATTATGATTTCATGTGACTCTATTTTTGGGTTTATGATTTTTCTGTGGAGTTAATTAATGTATTTTGTGTGGCTGGTATATGCAGTTAGTGGAGGCTGATGCCTGAGGGGTTACTTGTTTGTATAATTTTGATTTTATTGGAGACCTGTGCATTCTATTAGAAAGGGGAAAAAAAAGAAATATGGATATTTTTGTTGGTAAGTTTTGAGGGTGCAGTGTCTAATCATTTGGTGGTTCATGTCTTTCCAACTTTTGAGAGATGTAATAATATAATGTTTATTTGAACAATAATATAGTAAGAAATTGCCATCTCGAAAATACCCGGTAGAAGTTGCTTATTGATACACGGTATATCAGCGTTGAGGAGATGGTTGCTATTTTCCTACTCACCGTTACTCAAATAGGAGGTCTAGTCTCACTTTATTTGTAATAGTTGAGACTTTATCATCGTCATTGTAATAGATGTATGAATGATTAAATAATTATCGCAATTAAAAAATTTGTTAATCTAGCATAATAGTTAAAATAAACATCAAAATATTTTAAGATTGATTAATATTAATATTATTATATTATTTTTAATATTTTATATTAAAATAATCTTAAAATTAATATTATTTTATATGATAACTATTATTTATTTAATCATTTGAGGTTATGTCAAGTTAAACTTGAATTTAATTGAGCTATAAATATAATATTATAAAAAGATGTCATACTAATTGTCCCACTCAAATTATCTCATTACCCCATTTTATCCCACTTTATCCCACTCAAATTATCCCATTGGGTAAAATTACCCCATTGGAACAATTTACCCCAAATTACCCCAAATTACACCAACGAATAACCCCCCCAGCATTTATATACATTGAGTAGGTCAAAATTAGCATATTGATATCCTATATTTTGCAAACTTGACAATTTTTATTCAAAAGTTCCCATATAATATTTATATGCTATTCTTATAGTTATTTCTCTATTAATTTTGTTGAATTCATTGTTAATCTTTTAAAATTCTATTTTTGAAATAGAATTATGATGCATTAATTAAAATTAGATTTTAGATTGGTTTAATAGTAATTTAATAAATATGAATGTTATATGGGATTTTAGATGGTTAGAAAGCTCTAAAATTAACATATGAATGTTATATGGGAACTTTCGAATAAATTTTTTTACGTTTGTAAAATATAAGGTATTAAAGTGTCAATTTTAACTAACAAAGTATATATAAATGCTACAAAGCGCAACTGAGGATATATAAGTGTTGAAGGAGTGAAACTATAAGGTATTTAAGTACTATTTAGCCTATTTCAAACCACGAGTACAGTATTTGGATATTTTATGGAAATTGAATTATTTGAAGACGTACAATACAATTCGGCTTGCGTATTACTGTTCTATTAGCAGGACAAAGTTCCGGTATTGCTCATCTTTGTCACATCTACGTACTTGGGAGATGTTGCATAATTAGCAGGAAAAAGGGTGCCTTATAGAAATGGAAAATTATATCTATACTATTATATTAAAAACTTAGTGGCCGTAGAAAAAGTTTGAAGGACATAAAAATATCTGTTCTTCATCTCACTAAAGATATGAAGATAATTTGGTCATTTTACACATAATTTTTCTTTTTTCTTTTTGATATAATTTTTTCTTTTCTTTTCTCTTGCACTATATCTAAATTTTTCTAAAGCATGCCACAGAACTTGCTATTCATACCCCCCCCCCACACACACATATCTATCTACCCTTTAAAAGAGCCAGTTACTAAAAAACTTTCTCATCCCCAAATTAACCTTCAGCCATCTTAAAAATACCCAAATTCTCCCTTAATATCGTTTCATAAAATTCGTCAGCAGCATCGGAACTTTCCACCTCCGTTACGCCGAAGCCGAAGAGTTCATCGGTTACCATTCTCCGACGAAGCCGAAGCGTTACAGGAATTTGCAAAGATGAGGATTATTCATCGGTTACATTTCTCCGTTGAAGCCGAAGCGTTACAGAAATTTGAGATTACTATTTCTTCAGAATTTCCGCATTCATCTCCAAATATTTCTGAATTTGGGCATTCAGTAAGGTATTTCTTCTTCGTTTTCGTTATTTCTTCTTCGTTTTCACTCTTTTATACAAAACCCTACCTCTACCTATCCCCTTTTAGTTCTTCAGTCATCTCATTTTCTTCTAAATTTGCCCTAATTTTCGATTTCCTACAGTTTCAAGCGACAAGGGTTTAAATATTTCAACAGCAGCTGTATCGACATTAGGAAGTAAGTTGAGTTGAGTTGAGTTTTTTAAATTTTCAGATTTTGATTTTGGTTGTGATTTCTTTCCTAAATTAGTTATATTTTCCAGTTATAACTTATTTTGATCATTGACTAGGTAAATTAAGTCAAGATACATAGTAGTGCATTATAGCCCACAAATTGACATGATAAGCAAATCCCTAGAAATCTATAAGAAATCAAGGCACATGAATTTATTCTTGTGATGTTTGTGATAAGCTGCTTATTTGGGCTTACTGCAGTTTATGACTCATTCCAGGTGAAGCAATCACTTGTACTTTATTAACTGGTTATTATCTCTTAACCTTGAGATTCATTCCCTTCATAATATGCTCATGTCAGTTTTTGGGATATTATCTCTTTACCTTGAGATTTATTATTTTCTGATAAAGTTTGCTTAATGAATAGTGGCATTTCTGTTGGTTCAATCTACTACTTGGATTGTGGCAAATTTATAATTTTGCCAAGACTAGATAACCTTATTGAGATGTTTTTGTAGGCATATAAAATTGCTTATAGGTCCCTTAGCACAGCTCGGCACAAACCGACGAACCAACGAGGCGACGAGGTTGACGAATCGCACGCAAGCAACGGAATACATCCATTCGCGTGTGGAATCAAGCCAAGGGTTCGAAGAGTCAACGAGTCATCCAACCAAGGGCAGACTCGGACGAATCATGATCGAATCAAGGTCAGTTTCGGACTCGAACTCAGAAGTGGATTTATTGCCAAATCAGGAATCGGATTTACTGCCAAATCAGGAATCGGATCTACTGCCAAATCAGATCAACAAATCAGAGTCCGAATCAACCACGAAACCGGACAAAACGACGAAACCCAACACCTAAGGGGGGCTCGGCCAAAGCCGAGCCACCCATGGGTGGCTCGGCCAAGAGCCGAGCCACCTATGGGTGGCCTCAAAGGCCTCAGAGCTTGGATCACCGGTCAGCGCAAAAATCAGTCTCCTGGAACCTAAGCCCAAATTCCCGTAGTCCAAGTCGACCCTTCGTTTGAAGGGCTTGACGGTGGGATTAAATGGAACCCGGTTGCAAATGTCAATGGAAAAGATATTTGGAGTTTTTTGAGGACGATGGAGGTTCCGGTGAACTCGTTGCACTCTCAGGGGTATGTGTCGATTGGATGCGAGCCGTGCACGAGGCCTGTGCCCCCAGGGCAGCACGAGAGAGAAGGGAGATGGTGGTGGGAGGATGCAAAAGCCAAAGAGTGCGGCCTTAACAAAGTTGGGAGTTTTCCGACGATACTGTTGTTTACTAAGAATGGCTCGAGACCGATAAAGTATCCATCAGAGAAGAGGGATGTTGACTCTCTGCTTGCATTCATCAATGCACTTAGATGAGAGCGAGGTTATGTTTTGTGGTTTCGTATGGGATATTGTAGTATATGATTGAGAGGGGAGTTTGTGTGTAACGGTGGATATAATTTTGATTTTGTAGCTGTTATTATTTTGTAATACTTTTCTTCTACTATTTTTTCCCCTTGTCTTTTTTATTTGAATAGTTTCGATCCAATGTTAATCGCTCTTCATGTTGACATAGTGCATAATTCTTGTTCAAATAAAGCAGGCAATGGCACATTTGCGCCTTTGAACTGCAAGAGAATGAATGAGATGCATATTATCATACACTGATCAAGCATCTTCAGTTTCTAGAGTCACTGCTCTTCAATGTGGTGTGTTTTAAGGATGTGAGGAAATCTAAGTGCTATGTTCTCAAATTCTTAGTTAGTGTTATATTTTTCTCAACGTAGTAACGTTGTTCTCAAATTCTGGCTTTTCCTCGTATTCCCAACTTTCCAAAAGAACCTTATTCCAAGTTTCACAAATTTAAACGGAACCAGTGCCATGTTCTTCACTGTTGCATTCAAGACAAAGAATGATCTGGATCAATAATGGCATAAAGTTATGGAGTAGAGAAGTAATTAGAACAACAACAACCTTTCACTCGACAAATAAGAACAAAAAACTAAAAATTTACTACAAAACAGCTGTTACAAAAACAGACCCCATTCATTGGAAGAGCCGAGATGACCCTTCACCTCTCGGTTACAAATTCAACGATACAAAAAGAAATGCAAGAAGAGAAGAAAGAGGATGAGCAAACTGTCCTTGTCCCATCGCTGCTTCCTCCTCAAACCCTCATATTATTCTTCTTAATATGCTTTACCAGAAAAAAAAAGAGAAAAAAAGAAGACCCCTTTAGTTGTATCACTGCACAAATTTTAGATCAATGTATAGCCAGAGACCGAGATGTCAGCTTGAGTATCCGAGTGGATGTAAACAAACTCAAAGCTTTTACCCGCAGGCAACGACTCAACCCATGTAGGATAATATCCATTCTCTAACTTTGTTAGCCCCCACAATTCACCATTGAACTTTGATATCGAAATGTTGAGGTTCTTTGCAATTTTAGATAACTTGTTGGTAACCATTGCAGAGTACCTGTAGTACTTTGTTCCTCTGAAATCCCATGATGTTGTTGCTTTCTGCTCAATTGCAAATGGCGAAATTGATTTGGTTCCTACATCAGAAGTTGAGTTAGTCAAATTCGAAATTTCATTGGCGTAAGCCATATTTGCAATAGTTCACTTTAGTATCTAGGTTTTGCCCATTTTTGACGTTGATATTCTGATAAGTTACAAATGATAATTATTTCTCAAAAAATTTCATTGCATCTTTTGGACAAATTTAAACTTCAGGTCATTAAAGCAAAAAATGATCGAAAACTTCAAGACGTCAAACTACCTGGAGAAGTGAAGGGTTTATCAGGCAACGGAATCTCCACAAGAAGTTGATTATCTCCACTATGACCAGCACCAAGACGAGCTAATACTCCAAGCATAGGCCCTGGCATCCAACAATGTCACGCGGACATTACATGGCGTGTGCTGTAGAGAGGCCCTCTGCTATATGTATCTCCTATCTTCTGATGTCTAAATAGAATTATTTCTCTGTTATCATGTGGGTATAATATAATGTTTAGAGCAAAAGAGTGTGTTTGCAACTGACCACAGTCTAAATTTTTTGGAGCAAAAGAGTGATATGGCTACCTGAGACTTGGTAAAGCCTAGGAGTTAAACAGGAGCAGCAGCGGTTCCCGACGAGCATTGGATGCTGGTCCTGGCGGACTGAATGTTGAGCTGCCTTCCCTTGTAGGAGGAACTGTACGAAGATTGCCATCAATTAGTGAACGATCGATTTGTTAAGAAAAAATTTTATCGTAGCTAACATCATATGATTTTGATGCTGTCAATTAAAATCTAAATTTTCCGGATCGAAAAATCTATCCTTTCCTGTGGTGCAATATTTATGGCCTGGGAGATTTATGATTATTTCAAATAGTTATGCCTATCAACATCGTATTCAAGGATACAGATTTTCATTTGTGAAGTAAAAGTTTAGATTCGGAACGATAATGCCTGCATCTTGATACTATACTATTACTAAAAAGTTTGCTCCATTCTATGACTTGATGGATCTCGATCTTATTAATTGGAAATTCTTAAACTTCTTATCACTAATACAAAAATCACAAAAAACAAAATTCACGTGAAAATTAAGGATTATGTAATTTTATATTTCTAACAGAATCAAAAAGGTTACATTGAGCAATAACAAAGGGATTCGGATCCTCTCCACTACAAAAAAATAGTGGAGGGACCACTACATAATCACAGCCATTGATTATCTAATTAATGGTTATGATTTTTTCTTTTAGTGCAAATTAGGAATGAGTGCAATACACGGGAGTATGGTAAGTGTTAGATTTAGATTGTATCATAACCGCCTACTAAATAATCAACGCTTAAGATTAAAAGTAGTGGTCTCTCCACTACTTTTTTGTAGTGGAGAGGATCCAAATCCATAACAAAGGGATTTGTGTCACCTTAGAAGCAAGAACTTGTACACCAGCATATTTAACGTCCCAACCGAACTGGGTAAGTTGCCACCCGGTCCCACCAAGTTCATCGCCATTATTACCCAAATAAGACGTCCCAACCGAACTGGGTAAGTTGCCACCCGGTCCCACCAAGTTCATCGCCATTATTACCCAAATAATCAAGATAATAATGATCATTTGTAGCCTGATACAACCAAGCAGCTGCCCCCAAGAGCTCATCCTTGAATTAGCAAATTATCCAGAAAAAAAGAACATCGGTTAATCTCAACCATTGGATTCAGAAAAATTTGAAGGACGAAGGAGCTCGGGGGACGGCGACGGTGAGGGCTGGCGGCTGTGTTGGTTGAGCGGCGAGGCGGAGATGAGGTGGACAGGGGTGACGGTGGTGGAGGGGGGATGGAGGCGGTGATGAGGGACGGCGGCGACGAAGGGGCGGTGATGGGGTGCGGATCTGGGGAGCTCGGGGAGAGGCTGGCGGCGTGGCAAGGGAGGAGGTGGTCGGTGGTGTTGCTGTCGGAAGGAGCGCGGCGACTGCTGAGGGGTTTGGCGCGGTCGGTGAGCAGCGGAGGGGAGCTCGGCGTGGGGCGGTGAGGGGCTTGGGGAGAGAGCTGGATCTGATTTCTTGAGTTGAGGGAGGAGAGAGAGAGAGTGACGAATTTATTGGGGATTGGCTTCACGAGTGGCTTGGGTTTTTTTTCAAAAACCCCCCTGCGCATGAACGTAATTTATTTCTTTAATATGTTGATTTTTTTTATACACATTGCGGGCATGATGCTGTTAGATCCTAGAGGGGGAGGGGGTTATTAGGGTCTTATGCTAATCTAATCTGATATAATACCAATATTTATTAACAAATAATTCTTGCAAGATAGATATACAAAAGTGTTATGAGCAAGAATGAGCAATATAAACAAGGAGCAATATCCTAGCAATGAGATATACTATGAGATATATAAACAAGAGTAATAGTGCGGGAATAGACAAACGCAAACAAACGATATGATCATGGAGTTCGGTCCCCACAACCTACGTATCCGCTCCTCACCTCGAGGAGATCTCCACTATCACAACCGGGTTTTCTACGCTTACCCGAATAACGTTTACACCTCATAATACGGTTTCCTAGTTGACCGAAAACTTCACAACTTATAAACTAGCAATACACTTCACACCCTCTAAGTGTTGACCTAGCCCGTGTCACCTTCCTCAAGTGCTCGGAATTACAACCTACCTCTAGGCTTTACTACCGACGCCACTCCTCTCGGAACCGACCCCGTCTCTCAACAACCATTTCTCTCGATGTCCAAGTGTAGTACAATGTGCAACTCACAAAAAGACTCAATTACAATAAAATGTTCTCTAACATGAATGAGAACTCAATGTAGGCTCAATCTCACAAATCACAATCCCACAACCCAATATGATGTATGAAATCCTACAAGCTCAAATAGGGTGTGTGTGTGATAAAATGAGTATAAACGAAATCAAACTCAATTTACAAACTAGCAATAATGATATATGAAAATCAAAACAAATTGCTAGAGAATAGAGTTAGAGAAACTTCTCTATTAAACACAATAGAGGTTGAAGATGATTGAGGATGAAATCCCCAATTGAAAGATCAAGCCACCTGATCTTTATAAACATAAACTTAAGCACTTGAACAAACTTTAAAACTCTTTTTAAACTCTTGTTAAAACCCACTTCAAAGTTATGTTGCGATGAGAAAGAAAGGGATTTATATAGGAAGAGAAAATAGCAGCCAAAACCCTAAGAAAATCAGTAAAATCTCCTAAAAACCAAGAAACAAATTATGTACAAAACTAGCCGTTTGACAGCCTGCCAGTCGGCTGACGGGAAGCATTAGTCGACTGATAAGCTGAACGTTGTATTCAAATTCGAGCTTATCAGTCGACTGAAAAATATTTTCAGTCGACTGGTCAGTCGACGGAAACACAACAGAGAGCAAAATGAACATTCCAGGTGTTTTCTTCAGTCAACTGATCAGTCGATTGACTTCATCAGTCGACTGATAACAGGTTATCAGCCTGAAATGATTTTTAAGTTGTTAAAAAATAGTAAATAAATTCCAAAAAGTGTAAAACTTTGGGAAAAGTTTATAAACATGAATATGAACATGTTGGAAAAGGAATTATTCAAATAACTCTTACCATTTGTGAAAACACAGAAAAAATCAACAATGCTAAAATACATGTATTTCAAACATGTTAATTTTGCCATTTTTAGATCAAATCAGGTTTTGAAAACTTGTGTAAACTTTTTATGGACTTAACAAATGATGTTAACATGATTGATATAGTCCAAAACATATTTGAATGTAATTTGCATAAAAACACCTATTTTAATAAAAATTCACAAATGAAGTGTGTGTGCAATCTTGAGCTTATAGAATCAACATACACAATATTATCCTATACCAAACTCACATGCATCACACACAAGTTTCTGTTTATTTGCTTT